TTGACAGTCATATAAACCATCTTTTCCCTGGGAACACGAATACTGCTGTTCTGATCAAGCAGTTCAACTCCATGATCATTCTCAGGCTCACTCTCCACAATGTCTACAGTTCCACCTATCAGGGAAGAAGGCAGCTTCAATAATTTACTTGAAAACTTCATTTCCACCTGTTTCTTTCTACATGCTTTCCTTATTACTTTTTACAAACTTTGCTATTACTACATTGAAATTCTTATATAAAAGTTACTTCAGAAGAGACTCCAAATGTTCTCAATCTAAATAACCCAAAAGTAATCAGGTTGAAGCATTTGGATGAGACTATATAATGTTTAAACATTTCTTCTTACCTAAGTCATCTTCTCCAGGGTCAGCTTTAAAAATGTACACCTTGATGACCTCAGGGCAAGAGCCATCCACTTTACAAGGATCAATTTCCGACTCTGTGTCCATGGTCATTCCAGAAGAACCGTCGTGTTCTATTTTGCCAGCATCATCCACTAAAAAGGAAGGAAATAAATCACAAATAATAACGGCAGATATTTAAATAAAATGTTAGTGTTTGCAAAAGTTCTTTTACAAATATAATCTCTAACTTGATTCACATAAAACTGTATTTTACACCAGGTGCAGTGGCTCACGCCTGTAGTCCCAGCACTTTGGGAGGCCGAGGCAGGCAGATCATGAGGTCAGGAGTTCGAGACCATCCCGGCTAACACAGTGAAACCCCGACTCTACTAAAAATACAAAAAAAGTAGCTGGGCACAGTGGCGCGTGCCTATAGTCTCAGCTACTTGGGAGGCTGAGGCAGGAGAATTGCTTGAACCCAGGAGGCAGAGATGGCAGTAAGCTAAGATCATGCCACTGCACTCCAGCCTGGGTGACAGACTGAGGCTCTACCTCAAAATAAAAAAAACTGGATTTTTCCTAGGCAAGTAGAAGATTCAATAAATATATTCCTAAAGACTTCCGAAAACGGAATCAGATATTAAAGCAAAAATTATACACAGAGAAAACTCCGTAGTAGCCTAGAAAACTGTAAGTAACAAAAGAATATACTTATAGCCTTTGCTAAGCCACAAGGTAAAAGCAACTCTAATTAAAGATTCCATCTAATACTAAAATCTTAAAAGAACTGGCCAAGTGCAGTGGCTCACTCCTGTAATCTCAGCACTCTGGGAGGCCAAGGTGGTTAAATCACTTAAGGCCAGGAGTTCAAGACCAGGCTGGGAAACATGGCGAGACCCCCATCTCTACCAAATTTATATATATCTCACACACACACACAGACACACACACAAATTAGCTGGGCATGTGGCACATGCCTGTAGTCCCAGCTACTCGGGAGGCTGAGGTGGGAGGATCACATGCGCCTGGGAGGCAGAGGTTACAGTGAGCCAAGATCACACCACTGCACTCCAGCCTGGGTGACAGAGTAAGACCCTGTCTCAAAACAACAACAAAAAACTTAAAAGAATGTCCTAGAGGTAAAATCAAGAAATACAGTCTTCATATAACTATTTTATAAGCACTATTTCATGGTCACTATTCTTGAATGTCATTTGATATGATCTATTTCCAATAGAATATTACATTTGAAAATAATCAAAATATGACTGCCAGAAAGGTATACTGCAATGAGATGGTCAACAGAAATTCAACTTCAAAGGCCGGGCGCAGTGGCTCAAGCCTGTAATCCCAGCACTTTGGGAGGCCGAGGCAGGTGGATCACGAGGTCAAGATATCAAGACCATCCTGGTCAACATAGTGAAACGCCGTCTCTACTAAAAATACAAAAAATTAGCTGGGCATGGTGGCACGTGCCTGTAATCCCAGCTACTCAGGAGGCTGAGGCAGGAGAATTGCCTGAACCCGGGAGGCGGAGGTTGCGGTGAGCCGAGATCGCGCCATTGCACTCCAGCCTGGGTAACAAGAGCGAAACTCCGTCTCAAAAAAAAAAAAAAAAAATTCAACTTCAATCTGCTTAAATGTAAATATGCATAATGTACACACACAATTTTAGTTTATGAAAATAATGAGTCTAGGTCCTTGCTGGCAAATGCAGCAATGCATGAATTCAAACATATTCTCATATACCCATTGCCCTCATTAATGAAGGTATAGCCTACATATGAAAAAAAAAAAAAGAAAGAAAAATAAAAAGAAAAGAGGTACATATGATTTCCAGTAGTAGAGACTCGGGGAATATACAACAAACATCACATTTATTTTTTAATTTTTTAATTTCATATTTTATGTATTTGTTTATTTTGAAAGAGAGTCTCTGATACCCAGGCTGGAGTGCAGTGGCACAATCTTGGCTCATGCTGCCTCCTGGGTTCAAGCGATTTTCCTGCCCCAGCCTCTCAAGAAGCTGGATTATAGGTGCCCACCACCACACCCAGCTAATTTTTGTATTTCTAGTAGAGATGAGGTTTTGCCATGTTGGTCTCAAATTCCTGACCTCAAGTGATCCACCCACCTCGGCCTCCCAAAGTGCTGGGATTATAAGCGAGAGCCACCACACCCAGCCAAACATCACATTTTTAAAGCTTTGTAAAAGTAGCCAAGGAAGTAAGTGTGCTGTTATTCATAGGACCTGGAAAATAAAGTCCCCCAAAATGATGTCTTCAAATAACAGATTCTGAATTTGAATACCAAAAGCATAATCCCCATATAATGTAGCCTTACGTTACACAGTGACATCTCTAGCTCAACAAGTGTGGCAAAGACTAATGAAAAGTTAGCACCCAATACAATTTAGTTTATCACAGAAGCTGGATTTTTCAATGTTGAGTCCATTAGTGAAACACTGAAGGAATGTTCTCTCTGCTCTAGGCCCAGCAGGCCTATGTGGCATAGTGGAAGACTAACTAGAGGGGATCAGGGCTGAGTCCCAGAAAAGAAGGCTCACTGAGCTTGTCCACAATGCCCGCAACAAGCCTTTTCATTTCCCCTTTGCCCTTTTAGTTTCCTTTCTGGTGTTCCTCTGCTAGATATATCTGTCTTCCTTTTGGATGAACAGTCATGTTTTATTCAGTTCAACAAACAGTGAATCACAACTATATTAGACTCTAGGCTAGGTACTGGAGATGCAAACATGAAAGTCAAGGGCTCCAGAAGTTTAGTCTTGTGGGAAAGTGGACAACAGCTATTTTTAAATGCAGTAATAATAATGCAGCTACCACTTATTAAATGATTATGGTAAGTAGTATTCAATACTTACAACCCTGTGAGGCAGGTGGTACAACATTCTCTACATTTTACAGTAGAGCAAACTGAAGTTTAGGGAGGTTGAGTAACTTATCTGGAGTCACACAATTCATATCTCAAACTATGTTAGTCCCAATCAGGACTCATCAACTTCTGGAATTTGGAGCATAGGGTTTAAATCGGTAGAGGCCAACTGTGATTTTTGAAAAATCAAAAAAATAGTATAATCTAAACATGCTTTTCATGGAAATCAAATGAATGTGCTCATGACTCAAGCAGGCATAATCAGTATTGCAACCACAGCTGGGTAGTTATAGTTCTGACCGCTGTAACTTTTAAAACCCAGTCATCCCTTGTGGAATTTACACCTGTTATACCAAGACAGAACTCAGATTCTGACATCTTCGAAATGATACTTCTGCCAAGTCCTGTTGAGATCTCTATCAGATCCAAAAGTTGTGTTTACCTAATCAAAATTCTTACACAGAACATCAAGATGAATCTAGTATCTCAAAAGCCAACATTCAAAAGCAGAAATGCGGCCGGGCGCACTGGCTCACGCCTGTAATCCCAGCACTTTGGGAGGCTGAGATGCTCGGATCATGAGGTCAGGAGTTAGAGACCAGTCTGACCAACATGGTGAAACCCCATCTCTACTAAACATAAATTAGCCAGGCGTGGTGGCATGCGCCTGTAATCCCAGCTACTCAGGAGGCTAAGGCAGGAGAATTGTTTGAACCTGGGAGGCAGAAGTTGCAGTGAGCCGAGATTGAGCCACTGCACTCCAGCCTGGGCAACAGAGTGAGACTCTGTCTCAAAAAAAAAAAAAAAAAAAAAAGGCAAAAATACAGTGACAATTTCCCAACTTCTGACTTACTGAGAAACAAGACCATCCACACATCCCAAACAAATTACTTGCAAAGAAAGGTTGAAAATGGCATCCCCAAACCTTTGTCATGTGCAAACATAAAAATTATAAAATTTAATCAGCTTGCTTCATATGCAAAGTTCAAGAATCCTAAACTCTGGGCCACTGACAGCAGTTGTTTTGGTCTATTTTTGACATCATTAATCAGTAAACGAGATTTTAATATACCTTCAGTTTCAAAATCAAACAAGTCACTTAAAACTGCACTTGTTGATAAATTATACTTTTCCTTACATACTTTAAATTCAAATGAAGGTCATTTATGAGAAAAAAGCAAATGCTTGCTTATGTACACTATAAGATGACATTAAAGTTGAACCCTCTAATGCAACCTTTAATCAATTGATACAGAAAATGAAAGAGGATGAGAGAAATGACTGGCAAACATCATTGTGCACTGATCGCTGCCATGGGAACAAAGGAACGATACCTCACTCAGGTTGGGAGAAAGCGAAGCGCACTTAATTCAGGTAAATGGACAAATGCAGGGAGACACAAAATGGCGTGATGGTAAGGGAATACATGGTTCAATATTGCTGCAATGTGAGGGTAAAGCATGTCACAGGGCATGGCAGGAAATGCAGTTGACTGCTAAGCTCAAGCCAGGTCAGGAAGGGCCTCGTGCACAAACAGAGGGGCTCAGACTTTATCCTCGCAGGCCAAGGGTCTCAATCTGGTCAGGTGTCAAAATCTCTTAGGGAATTTAAAAACAAAGCATCCAGTCCAGCAGCTCTACATAATCAGAATCTGCAGGGCTGGGACCTGATATATATGGACAGATTTAGGGGCGCCCTGCCTCTGGGACTCTGATAGGCAGGAGAACATCTGCTGCAGGGATTGGGAGACTCAGGCAGAGCAGTGACTAAGTCAGATGCCCATTTTGCTGGTCTTGGAAAGGTAGATTCAAAGAGATCAAAACATGAATCTGACTTAAGCCTACTACACTAATGTAGGTGATGACAAGGCTTTGAATCAGGACAGAGGTAGTACAACTGGGGGAGTGGGCTGGACTTGGGGCCTATTTTGGGACTAAAATGAGTAGAACTTGGTGTCTGACTGAAAACCCAAGATGACAAAGGAACCAAGGCGAATTGGGTGTTGTTAATTTAGATGACTGAGTGACTGGGGTAAGAAATGTGAGAGAAATGAGGAAAAGGATCTCTCTTCCTGCATGTTTGATTAATCTTAAGGTCCCAAGGATAACATTCTGAAAAGCCCTCAGAACCAGCGCTTGTCACTATCACATTGTGCTCATGGCACCCTTTGCTTGCTTGCTTCTCTCGGAATACATGATTCATTGTGTGGCCACTGTCCGGTTTTCCTCCCCATCTTTCCCACTGACACAGCAGAATCTGTATT